CCCATACCCAGGTAACTCCACCCAGCACCCCTACCCCAATCAGAGATCCGAGAGGAGGAAGGGGTGGGTGGACCCCAAAAGATCTGTTAGACAAGAGACAATGTCGAATCAGAGCTCTGGCTATCAACGGCTGGGCAGTGGGGGAGTTTAGGGTCGGGGGTCAGCTGTCCTTGGGCCAGAGAGAAAGAACTGGCTGACCCCTCCCCCACAGTGAATCAAATGAGAGAGGAAGGAGACAGCCGAGCCTGGGAGACAAAATGACAGGTCACTGGAGGACTGACCTCTCGGGCCCCCGCCCGACAGCGGAAGGGAAGGAAGCCAGAGTGACCACTATCCAAAAGGCAGCAGGGGTCCACAGGGGTCCTAAGAACCACCCCCAGGGCTACAGGAAGGACAATGGACTCTCCCACCAAGGCGCACGGGGCGCATGTGCACGCCATGAGGCCTGGCCTGCATCCAGAAGAACAGGACTACAAAAAACCAGCAAAGGGTTGAAACCTGTGCCCTGGATGAACAGGCAGGAGGCGGGAAGGACTCCACACTCAAGCCTACGAGTGCAGAACACACAGGTCCTGCTAGAAACAGACAAGGGCAGCCAGTAAAGGAAAGCCGTCATATCCACTTTAGCCGGAACAGTTAAAATCAGGGTTAACATCGGAGATGGTAGCATTTTCACAATTAGTGAAGGTCCAACCTACACTTCTGGTTTACAAAGCATTTCCACGTGCATCACCTTTCTGATTTTAATTTTCCTAGCTGCTCGGAAAAGGCCACAGGATGATGTATCAATAGGCTTGTTTTGGAGATGAAGAAGCTGGGGTTCAGAGAGGTTAAGCAGTCAATCAAAGGTCACCCCACTGATATGTAGCAAAGGCTGACCTTCCGACTGTGAGCACAGGGCATATGCACTACATTGTACATCATATAATCATCTGTAGCACTCACGTGTAACATGTAACAACCTACTGAAAAAAGTTACCACCTGAGTCCACCTAGCAATTTAACTACTCTTGGCAAATGTGAGGTGAACCACACCAAAAGGTCTTCCCAAGTGATCAGCTTTTAATCTAAGGTTTCTGACTGTCAAAACATGAACTGCTGACATCTCTGCCTTGGATGAGTAAGGTTCCGGGGTCTCTGCCATGGCCGCTACCAAGAAAAAAAAAAAAAAAAGAAAACCAGTAGACACTGGCCAAGGCTGTTTAGTAAGACAATAGCAAACCACTGCCTTCAGTTTATTAGGAAAATACAAAGCAAATGGGCCAGGAGGAACTATGTATCAATTGTGGGATCCCCGTGGCAGGCAGAATTGCAATGTTAAAGGCTGCAGCCAAAATCAAAACACCTCCACATGAAGTGAGACCATCAGAACCCAGCACTCAGAAAGCCAAGCCTTACCGAAAGCCAACCGGGTTCACTCCTCTGCCCAGTGGGGCAAACAGCTAGAGAAGTGAACAGCTAGAAGGCCATAAACGCCCTACAGTAAAAAAAAAAAAAAGAAAGAAAAAAAAAAAAAAGAATTCCTTTGGTCTCCCTTACCACTAATCAAGGCAGCATATTTATCTTGACATTGTTCCTTTAACCTGTATTTGCCCCCATCCCCCCCAGATTTCCTCTTGGGCTTATCTCCAAGCCATCCTTTTCCTTAAAAGATTAAAGATTTAAACACAACCAGTGAGCAGTGTGTATAATCTTCAAAGAGCACTTTAGCCATCATAAAGAATATTTTAACAGGCACTCATTTTTTTTTTTTGCCTTAACCACACCTGTCCTCATAAACCATTTATGAGTTTAGCAGAGAAAGCGAATATACAAAGCTCAGATAAAGTTAAAAAAGGCAACCCAGGAATGAAACTTCGGACTTTAGACTACTCAAGACCACCCTCCTCTAAGCTCCTCAACTAAAATCAAAGTTTGTACGGCCTTTTGCCTCTCCCTGGACGTCTCCCAAGTATGTCTCCCGTCTCCCTCCCTGGCTCAAGCCTCATCTTACCGGTGGCACACAGAGCAATGAAGGTCTGGGCGTGCTTGCGGACCACAGATAGCTTCTCCCGCTGCTGGGGCAGCTTGCGCAAGATGTGCTCAATGAAGTCATGAGGAGTGACAGCTGCCAGGTTCCACTTCAACTTCCCCAGCACCACCAGCTCCCACTCCTGGAGGGGAAGGCAGGAAGAGAAGAGGAGAATCTAAACTCCACAGGCTGACCTGGTGTAGGGGGTTGGGGGTTGGGCTCCAGACCAGTTTTAAGGCCGCTCATTAGGACGTGGCTGCTAGATTGTAAGGCGGGCCCATGTGTCAATGTGCCCCTCAAGCTTTGAAGTTGTTGACAGCTCTTCTTATGCTTCAAATGTCAGGCTCCACTGAAAATAATGAGAGCCCAGGTAGCTGTTGCCAAGATTCTATTTTCTTCTATTTCGTTTCCACTCCAGCTCCCCTAACCCCCTCCCTCCCAACCCTGACTTGCCGGCAATACTGCTTCCCGCCCACCCAGAAGGCTGAACCTACAACGAGATACGGCCAAGGTCATTGTGGCCCTTTCGTGGTAATTTATTGTATATGTCTCTATCACCGAACTAATAGTCTTTTTAATCTTCATGGAAAAATGATGCACACAGATAAAGCTCAAAATAAGGTTCCTTGGCCCAACTCCTTGGCAACCAATTAGCTTGCTTTTACTTAGTCCCCAAAAGTGCCTTTCTCTCTCTGCTGTTCAAACTTTCCCCTTTGACATATCAGGCAGAGATTTTGGGGATATGACCCCCAGCCCTTTCACCTAAATGTTTCAAGGGGCCGTTGTCATCATGACTAAAGGACCACATGGTCATTAGCAGACCCATTTTGCAGGTGGAGGTGATTCGGGGCAAGGTGAAGGTGCCTGCTTAGTGTCACAGCATCCCTGGGTGCACCTGTGGGGACCACACAACCCTGCCTCTTTTGGGTCTCTCACTAGCAACCCACCTGAACAAAAACTTTGTTTCCCTCTTTCACTGAGATATTTATGGGAAACTGCTCAAAGGGAAATAGTCCAAAATAAAACATTAAAAATATTGTACGTGCTACCAGAAAATACGCCTATCCACTGAGCTGTCATCAGAATCAGAGGCAGGGCCTGTTTGCCACTGCACCCCCTCTCCCATTCACCTGGAGAACCTGGACTCTCTTTCATTTGCTAAACCAGCAACCAGAGCACCAGTCCCAGAGCTGTGGGGCGGGGGTGACTCCCTTTCCCTCCCAGGCCTCAGCCTCTCATTTGTAAAATAGGACTCTTCCAAATCCCAACTTCTGGGATAAAGGGAAAGGGAACAGGAAACAGCCAAGTTTGTTTGGAGCAATATAGTGCTTGGCTAGTCTTGGAAAGATGTGGGTGTCCTGAAGAACATCTCAGTTCACCATCCTCTTGAAACAAAAGAATCATATGAAGATTATTTTTCCTGCTCTCTCATGAGAAAGTCAAATTGGTTCCCAATTCTAACAATGTTTTTTTCATAAGCTTTAAAGTCTGCCCTTGGCTTTCTGTGGACAGTTGGGGTAAAGGGACCTAAATAAACTACTAAACCACCACCATCTTCAAAGATGGCTTGAAATGCCAGCCCTTCCTCTTCACAGGGTAACGCGAGTACGAACCACTGGTCTTGCACCGTCATTAAAGGAAGCAGATCTCCCAGAAGACAGCACCTTTCTAGGCCTCTCGGACCAAACCAGAAGCAGCTCAAATCTGGCAGCGGTTCAAAGGTGAAGTCATTCAGGCCCCTCTCCACATTCTCGGCAATTCCTCCCCCAACCTTGTGCATGTCTTCCACTAGATGGCAGCACAGCCCCAGAAAGGAAGAGGCTCCTCACAAAGAGCTCAGTTCAACAAGCCAGCCTCAGCCCTGTGGACTTCGTGCAGGCCCTGCCAGTAAGGAGGGGGAGGGGGGGAAGGAGGGGGTGCTTTTCTACACAGTGCAAAGAGGGGTGTGCAAACCACGGAAGGTGGGCCTTGGAGCCGCTCTTCCATCCAGTACAGCTGCAATATGGCCGTCTTATATGTCAAGCTGCAGGGAAAAGGAGTTAGATCAGGTGGGAAAGAGGTTCCCTGGTAGAAAACCAGAGGTAAGACAGGATCCCTGGGGTTGTAGAAAGGTCACAGTCCCACTGGAGGTAGGAACCCAGGCCTCGGACTCCTTCAGTGAAAGGCCACGTTTTGACTTTGCTCAAAGTCAATGGACTGATATTTAGTGAACAGCTATTAATGTGTTGGTATCTTGAGGTTTTGTAGATGCAGAGGGCTTTACCTTTGAACTCCAAGTCTTTAGGAGACACACACCGCAGCCACGTACCTATCATGTGAACACGTTCTCAGACTATTTTTGAAAATTTGGAATTTAATTAAAATATCACTGTTAATTAAAATATTCCACGCGTCCCCTACACACATGCACACACAATTGCAAGTGCGTCTCACCACCAGATCTCCTCGAGGATCTTATTCACAGATGTTGCCTCAGTGCTGGGCACGCAGCCTGGGCACATAGTAGGAACACAAAAAATATAGACTGTGGTTTCCTATTAAATGAGTTATTGCCCGTCAGTGTGTAAATTCTATTGGTGGGGTCATTTTGGATCCCAAGAATCCGCTCTGGAAGTGGTGAGAAGAAGGCATATTGTTGGCCAGGGGAAAGCGGGAATCGCAGAAAGGAAGGGAAGAAGGGGCCGGTCATTACCAGCAGCTCCTGAGGCTTGATGGAGTTGTCGGTGTAAATGCACAGCTTCTCCGCAGTCAGCGGGCTGGTCTCTTTGAGTTTGGAGGCCAGGAACATGCAGACAGCACCCAGGAGTTGCAGATGGGACTTTGGAGTCGGGACCCCAGCCAAGAAACGGTCCAGGTAATTCATGGCCAGAGGGAAGACCTCTTCTTCGCACTTCTGTTCCTCACAGACCTATAATGGGAGTGGGAGAGGGTTGGGGGGCGGGGGTGGAGAGCACAGCATCAGCAAAAGAGAAAAAGAATGAAAAAGCATAATCTATGGGAACAAAAAAATTTAATTTTTTGTGGGGAGGGGGAGGGGAGTAAACTGGGTGATAAGAATAAAGAACAAAGATGAGGAAACTGGGGTGAATCAGAATAGCCCATCGGTGCTTTGGTATTCCAGGGAGCCTATAAAAGGGGGTGAACTACAGCTCCAAAACGGGGAGTCGGGGAAGTGCGCAGCAGCCGCGGCAGCTCCGCGACGCTCCCTTTGGCTACTCCTTCGCGCACTCTAACTCACTCACTCTTTTTTGGATTTCGTCATCTTTTCAAAAAATCAATAAAAATATTCTGGAGGCTCCGGGGGTCCACTTCTTGGTCTCATCCGGATCCCCAGATCCTCCTCTATCATTCCCGACAATTGGAAAAAATGTCTGGGGGGGTCCCTGCGGCCCAGGGGCCGCTATTGGGGGGGCGGGTGGGGAGAGGTGGGGAAGAGAGGGGGAGGGAGGAGAGGAGGAAGAGCGCCGCAGCCTCGGCAGCTGGAGTCGGAGCGGGGGGGGACGGTTTCAAAAAATAATTAAAAATCGAGGAAATATCCTAGAAAAGCCCTTTTGGCGTGAAAACCCCAAAGAGGAGCCAGGCTTCCCGAAAGGGAGGTTTCGGGTGCCAGAAAGGTCTGTATTCCGACCCCTGGGGCTTTGGATCCCGGGAGGAAACTTGAAGGGGTGAGCGCCGCGGCGGGAGTGTCCGGCTGCGGCCCACAAGGACAGAAACTAGGGAACGTGGTGACGAGCTAGGGGAAAGACGGGAGCAGGGAGCCCTGGAAAGAGGCACGGGGGGCTCCAACCTCTCTTTTAGGGGTGACCCGATATCCCCCCTACACACACCCCCTCCCCCCCCTTCCTACCCCACCCAAATCTCCGCACCGAGGAAGCTGGAAAACCAAACTGTAAGTAACCTTCGTGAGGTGGGGGGTGGGGGAGAGGGCACGATTAAAAGTGGGGTGGCCGGGATAATGGGGTGCGAGGGTAAGCGGGCGACGTTTCCCAGCCTTTCCAAGGGAGTTTGCAAAGCAACATGGCGAAACCACGGCAGGTCCAGAGCTGTGCATACGTGGGCACACGGCTCACTGGGCAAAGACTTGGAGTGAGGGGCAAGAAGTGGTTCTTTTGGGTTCCCCCGAAACACACGTTTCTTCAATGGGACTTCCGGGGCTCCTGAATTCCCCGTTTCTCTCCTTCTCCCTCCTCCCTCCACCTCCCCCCTGAAGTGCCAGCGCGGAGTCGCGACCACATGCGGGGACCTGAGGCCAAGACGAATTTGCTCTGGCCTTTTGGGGGGCTGCCTTTCTACTTGGGGTCCCGATTTCAGGCCCCGACTCCCTTCCTGACCGCAGCGCCAGCAGCCGCGGCGGCTTCGCAAAAGACAGGTCGCGAGGGGGGTGGGAAGAAGAGGCAGCCACATGCAGACACACGCGCGCGGGATGCTCCCCCACCCCCGCCCAGGGCAGCCTCGCTTCTCCCAGATTTTCCTCCCCCCTCTCCCTCCCCAGTTTATCTGGAGAGGAACAGAAAAGAAGCCACGCGTCTCGCCAAAGGGCGCGCGGTGACCTCCCGCACAGGAGCCGAGAGGTCGGCGCGGGGATTGCCCTCTCCCAGGTTTAGGGCTCCGGCCGGGGACCCGAGAATCCGGGAGGGGTCCTGGCTCCTAGCGAGCGCCGCCCGCCGACCTACCTCCAGCATCCAGGTGGCCACCATCCTGCGCATGTAGGGTTGGATGTCCTTCTGCACGCACTTGAAGTAGGAGCACTGCGGAAGGTAGCGCTCCTCGATGGTGAGCAGGTTCTGCAGGACGCGGTCGTCTTGGAGCAGGTTGCGGTCACGCACGGCCCTGCGGACCGGGTCCACCTCGCAGCACAGCAGCTCCATGGCCAGCCCGGCGACCCCTCTCTCCCCTGCTTTCTCCGGTCTGGAAAAGTGTTTTTCTCTTTTTGTTTTTTGGAAGGGGAGGGGAAAGGGTTCCCCTTACCTCCTTCCTTTGGCTAAATAGAGGGTTTTCGGGGGAGAGGTGAGGGCAGAGAGAGAAGGTGGAGCGGAAGAGAGGCGAGGATCGGGTGGTGGGCGAGCAGAGCCTCCGGGCTGCCCCACTCGCACCGGTCCTCCCCTTCAAACTGGTCTCGCTCTCCCCAGCTCGCTCTTCTCCGCTCTGAGGCGGTGACGCAAGCTGGCTGGGCAGTTAGCTCTCCTCCCTCTCCCCGCGCTCCCCGCTCTGGTTCCTCCTCCCCTTCCCTCCCCTCCCGGTCCTCCCCTCCTCCTTTCAATCTCTCCCTCCCTCCCTCCTTTTCCCCTCTCGTTATTAAGGAGAACAGCAGCTGGCCCGACCTAACTTCAAACGCAGTCCCCCGCCCCCCCACCCCTCTCCCTCCATCCAGCCCTGCATGCCAGGGGCCCCGGACAGGGCAACCCACAAAAAACTACCGATTCCTATTTCTGCCCTCTTAATTTCACTCATTCTGTAGGTGTAGCACGCCAAAATACGACCCTCCAACTTTGGCTTCTTCAAAACGGATCCTAATACTTCTGCCCTTGGATTTAAGATCCAGGAACGTAGGGTAGATTGTTTGAAGATGGGGTGACCTCGGACAATTTGGAAATAGTTCCCTTAAGTGAAAAATAAGGGAGGGGGTGATTTTAGAAAATAGCAACCTCGCATACCCAGAGATAAAGGTCATGTCCCTGAAGTTTGTGTTCCTGATAACTTCGAAGCTGTTCCAAAAGCCCCGATTAAAGGGACCAGAACAACGTCCCTTCTGCCCCCCTGCAGACTGTGGGCAGAGGAAAAAGAAGAAGGAGGGGTGCGTGTGAGGAAGGAAGGGGGATGCTTCTCTGGAGGGATAGAATGTGATCCTCGAGCAGAAACCATAGTGTTTCTGGGGGCCCTTGGGGCGCCGTGGGGCGACGCGGTGCAGCGCCTAGGGCCCCCGCAGGCCGGGGGCAGGGCTCCCAGCGGTTTCTCCGCGGCCAGCGGCCACGCAGGAAAAACCCGCTTCCTCGCCCCTGCATCTGCTGACAAGCCGCCCGAGGTGTCTGCGCTGAGCGTGGCCACACCGATACAGCTTTCTAGGAAATGGCCCGGGAGGGGGAGGGGGCGAGTGAGGGATTAGGTCTGGCTCCCCCTCGCTCCCCCTGCGCAAACACCACCACCCCTTCCTTTCCCCGGAGGCATGAGGCCTCCACCCTCGGTCCTTCGTCCGCATCCTCGCCGACCCCTCCGGTGCGCGCCTCACTCGCCAGGCTTTTTCCCTGGGAGCCAACTGCGGTGAAGTCGCCGCCAGCACGGTCGGCCCTGACACGTGCTCTAACGCATCCTTCAGTCAAGGCTGTCTTTACAGGAGATAGGATCTGGTGGCGTTTCCTCACCTCCTTCCTCCTGTCACCCCCCACCCCCACCCTGCCCTTCGGTGTATTTCAAGGAGGAAGGGGACAGACCAGCGCCCTGATGTGCTGGCCGAGCTGGCACGTGCAGCGGGCATGGCGTGGCTTGAGCTCTCTGGGCACACCGAGGCCGACCGAGTACCTCCCTCACCGAGAGAGGGGGCCCCGGCAGGGGCGCGGAGAGCCAGCAAGGCAGGGTGGGGCGCGGGCAGGGTGAGCCGTACACTAGGTTCTCTGCAAGGCGGAGGAGGGGAGCAAAGAAACCAGAGGTGCAAGCGATTAACTCAGGCCCCGGAGCCAGCCTCCTTACACGAGGGTGGGGCGGAAGGGGTTGTGGGGGGGAAAGGAGGGGATATCGCTTTAAAAGGGTGAGTAAGAGTTTGGGGCGCCGTCTCCCCTCCCTCTATTTGCATAGCCAATAGCTCTGGGGCTCCTGCTACTGCGCGCTGATTGTTACCGGGCAGATTACTTTTTTTTTTTTTTTTTTTTTTTTTTTTTTTTTTAGTAGGACGCGTTCCCCACTACATCAAAAGGAAGCCAAGGGAGGGCGGAGGGAGAGCGGGCGCTGGGGCGGGCGAAAGCTGGGGAGAGGCCCGGCCGCCTCCGACCTTATCAATAGCAGCGGGAATGAGTATGCCATCTCCTATATGTAAAGAAAGGGGAGGGAAGGGGCGGGCGAGGAAAATGTCTAATTGCTGTGGAAGCCATTAGCTTTCAGGAAGAAAAAAAGCTCGCTGAAAAACCCAAGTTGCAAACTCAAAATGAAACAGTCCAGCGCCGCGGATGACACCCGGGCCGAACACCGTGTTCACCCGCACACAGTGGGTCCCGAACAATCCCCTATTGATTTTAGTCACGTTGGACTTCCGGACTGAAGCTTTTGAGTCACCCCGGATAAATACATTCACTTACATTTTAAGACCCCCCGTAAGGGAATTACTCCAATTTCACCTAAGCCACCTTTAAGCGGATCAAAGAAAGTTGCAACGGGGAGAGGGGAGAAAAGGAGGGAGCGCGGGAGGTATTTTTAAAGTATAAATCTAACCCGACAGGCAAGGACAGAGGCCACCGGGGCTCCCAACCTCTGGACATCACTTGATAGCTCTGCGAGCAAGGTCTCTTCCACCCCCACCTCCCCGCACACCTCCCCCCTCCCGGGGAAAGGCATCTCGAGCTCTGGGTCTCCCGAAGTGGGGGCAGGGGGGGCGAGGAAGAAACGGGTGGTCGTCCCGGGGCCTTGCCCACCCCGAGGAGAATGCCTGGGTGGCGAGTCCTCACGTCTCGGGAGTGAGCCGAGGGCCCTCTCGCCCCTTCCCTCTCCCCCTCCCCCCACTCCGTCTTGCTTTACAGAGAAATTCCAGCGGGGAGGGGGCAGCGAATGGGAGGGGGAGAGAGGGTCGCGGCCGGATGCCCCCCCTTCCCGGCGCCCTCTGCATTCATGGAGACCCGCAAGTTCGGGCGCTTCCCGCGTGGCAGGCTGGCCTCTTGAAGTTCCCCTGTCCACTTCCCCTTCCGATTACTGACTGTTCCCGAGCGTGAAGCTCGCCATCGAATCCAATCCCCGGTGGTTTTGCAGACTCTCACACGTGGGGTGGGGCGTGAGAGGGTGCGGAGGTTGGCAGGAATGTCTCTAGGAGGCTTGGACTGGAAACTGAGTTTTCCCTTTTTGTTGCCACTCCGGCCATGTGTTAAAACTCTAATTTCTTGTTAAAATGCACTCCACCTAGCACGCGGGAAAAGGCATGATGCCTTCTAGGCAAAAGTGCACATTTTCTTTCAGTGTAGACTTAGGTTTAGAGAAAAAGCGCAAGAGCCTGTGCTCTGGCTTTTAAGTCCAAACTGATCACTTTGGCGAGGGGGTGGGGGGCGGCGAGGGGCGGTAGAAGGTTGGTTTTTCCTTACCTCCTTTTCACCCTTCACAGAAAAAAAAAAAAAATATATATATATATATATATATATGTGTGTGTGTGTGTGTGTGTGTGTGTGTATATATATATATCCTGTGTAGCGCTGGTGATAAACTTCAGCGAAGGCCAGTTTTATTGAACTTTTATTCCTTTTCCGGCCGGCTCCCCACCCTCTACTCTAGCGTTTTGGAGTTTCGGTTGGAAAGTGTACAAAGCCTGGAGGTGGAGGGTGCAGCAGGGTGTTGGGCGTTTATAGGCACATTTCTGCAGGAGCCTGCAGCACTAAGCACACAGACTCCCAAGCTCACCTGGCGGATGCCTGCCAGCCAGGTG